TAGTTCAATACTGCTGCTAAAACAGCAGCATTGAACTTTGCTGTGGCCCCATGGCCCTCAGGCTGTTTGCATCCACAGAGGAGGCATAATAATTTTTACAAACCCACTGTTTTTTCAAAGAAATAACAACTACAGAAAAAAACTGTCAGAAACACTGGGAAATATATAAAGATGAAAATATCTGTACCTAAAGGGATCAGTAATGATCAGTTTCATATGTAAAATGTGTAAATATAACTGTATATTTTTTTTTATCATTATTGGGTGAATACATAATACAGGAGCAGAGCTTTCTGCTAAGCAGTGTTTAAACTGAGTTACATGGTGGAGAGAATATGATGCGGTGGGACCGGATTTTTTTCACCATAGATTATGGAGTTACAGTGAGCAGAAATGTGAAGCAAGCAGAACAATAAAAAGAATCCTGAGTTGGATTAAAATGAAACAAAAAGTGTTTTGTGAAGAGATATCCAAACAACTAAGATGACGCAGAATGTACCTGCAGGTTGTAGAGTGTTACACACCTAAGATTGGGGTGAAGGACACTATTATTTAACATCTATCCATCTTTTATCTTCCACTTGATGAAGGAAGGAGACGTGAAAGTAACAGGATCAGGAGGAAAACCCACTTATCTCTCTTTACCCTGCAGCTCCTTCTAGGTGTAACGTTAATGCCACAGGAGAGGGGACTAAAGGGGCTGATACAATTTTATACTTTGGTGCACCCGTTTGAACGTCTGAATATTCTATGTTTAAATATTGCTGTAATTATCTATCATTTTTCTTTTTGTTTTTCTAAAATACATTGGTGATCCAAAAGTGTTTCCAGGCCAGATGAAAAATATATATACCAACTGCAGCGCATTGTGCGCTCTGCTGAGAAGGTGATCGGCTGTAAGCTGCCATCTCTCCAGGACCTGTATGTCTCCAGGACAGGTCGCATCACAGCCGACCCTTCTCACCCTGGACACAGACTGTTTGGGCCTCTCCCCTCAGGGAGGAGGCTACGGTCCATACGCACCAGAACCTCCCGCCATAAAAACAGCTTCTTCCCCTCTGCCATAAGACTCATGAACACCTAACTATATGTCAGACTCTAAAACCTGCCCATGTCATTTACACTGCTCTATTTGCACACTGCTCTATTTGCACTCCTTGTAAGATGCTATTTTACTTTTTATATTTTATATCCATATTTTTATCTTAAGTGTACATATTAGTCTATTTTATTGCATGCCTTATACCCACAGTTTTTAGATATTTTTAGAATTTTATTTACCTATTCCATATTATATGTTTCATGTTGCACGATTGTACCAGAAAATATTCCTAGTTTGTGAACTCCTTCACTAACAATGGCAATAAACCTGATTCTGATATAATTTCCAGATTCTTGGTTCTCTCAATGGTCTCTAAAGGTGACAAAAAACAACTCTAAAGGGGGGTTGTCCTGATCAGAAAAGAAGAGCAGCAGCACATCAGCGACTTCCCCCTTTCTTTACTAGGATCTAGTTATTTCCTTTATGGCAACTCTCACACCACAGCAGATCACACGTTACTGTAGTCAAAGCTCTTACACAGCTGTAGCTCACCTGTTCCACTGGAATAATAGGTGTGTGAAATGATCAAATCTCAATTACAGAACTACATGCAATATACACACACTCCTGTAGCTCCTAAACTAGCAGCACGACTAGTGCTCACCACTGTATTCAAACTGAACTCAAGAGTCACTTAAAAATTTAAGCCTGAATTAAAAAAAATTTTGCAGGCAAACAGCAAAACTCTTAGGGAGGAAGTTTATTTGTTAATTAAAGAGGAAAACTTCTAAGAGCTCAGCATGACATTGGAAACGTTTGTTTTGTCTTAACATCAGAGTGAGAGTCGGTTTTTTTCTGCAAGGTTGAAAAGCAGAAGAAAAGTAGCACTGCTTCAAACCTGTTAGGATAAAGCAAACAAAAAGAAAATTGAATAAACCAAATCCATCTGTGATAAATGTTATATTGTGTGCAGAAAACTGGATCCTATATACAGAATTAACTTCATCATTCTGCTTTCTTTAACTTAGATGTCAGCAAAGTATTTTTGACTGTCTAGAGGACCGGCGATATCTCCATGTAATTTTCTGATGGAGAAACCAAAACTTTTTTGTGCTAAAGGTGAAAAGTCCTCATAGTTCATATCTGGTGTGAAAAGGTCAGCTCTGTCAGAGGGTGGCATGTATGCTAACCAGATCTTATTCATACATAAAACTGATCCTCTGGCTCCATCGTGTGACAACAAATATAACAAGGAAACCAGCATCAGCCTAGTAAAGATCTAAACCGTTAAACTGTAGCAAAGCTCAATGGACAACAGGCTTTTCTTTCTTTTCATCTAACTAATCTCACAATGAAGACAGACCTAATAAAGGAAAGTGCTTCTTTATACAGTACTCTTATGTCTTACCTTCTTCATTACTTTTTCTTTTTTTGGATAAATATCTGGAATTTGTTTATATTACAGATGTTTTTTGGGAATATGTTCTAATGCAGCCCATGTGAATAAATCATTTAATGATAAAATTTGAATTTTCAGTGTGAAATCAGTTATATAGCTTTATACAGAGCCAATAGAACAACAGGTTTCATCTCAAGGCACTTTGCAAAGAATAATTAATCATATCAAAAGCCATAGATTATAAGTCAGTTACATAGACTCCATGTTGATCTTAGTGTTAAGCAACACAATCATGTTTAGTTTATTGTTCATATTTGTTAAAAAGGTTTCTAAGAAAACCCAGTAGATTTTCCCAGCAGTATTTAGTCCCTTTGGAAGAGCATGCAACTGTTGTTTGGCTATAGAGTGGCTGAACCACGGGGTTCTGCACCGGTAACCCAGTAGTACTGACTATTGATGTGTCTGGCCATTCTCGCCATGGTTGCTAAGGTCCTGCACAACCGGATTGATCAGTTAGTCAGGTACTGAGAGAAAGGAAACAAAGGAGCTGGTTAAGCATGTAACCCATTGGCTGCATGGCAAAGAGCAGGAGCTTTTTCCTTTTTATTCATTAAAGACAAAGAGGAGAAATCCACTCCAAGAGCCATCTATTGATCTCTATCTGTATAACTTTTCTTTTTTACTATAATACTGTTCCAACCTCGTCATCGCCTGCGTTTTAATATTGGTCCTCATAATAATAATACAATGGAAAGTGATGAATTGTTCTTCTGAATCTTGTACCAGTGGCATCAACCTGACCCGGTTCACTTAAGGTATAGTGGAGGATTTTTTTTGAATTTTTGAAAAGACCCGCCCCCTGTGCACATGCACAACCCTGTACCCGCTGCCGAGAGGGAACGGCTATTAAATGAGTGCGAGAGCGTGCACAGGCCCATTTCTCTGCATTCATGCTCTGTTTAAAAATGGCTGTTTGCATCGTTCATACAAGCTTACGTTCCAAAAGAAGATTTGCAATTTTTTTCACTGTCAGACTCACCACCGGTAAGTGAAAATGGGGACGAGCACGTAGGACGGCCTTACGTAAACATATCAACAGAATGATTGACAATTAGGAGGACCACTTATTTAGATGATCCACCCAGAGAAATATTTCCAACCTGGAAAAAGATTGGTCCAAGGGATCCATCAGTCCAGTGGCCAGTAACAGATCCCCAGGGGCACAATAGCGACTGTTGACACCAGTTTAACTGTCAGTAGAGAGTGCGCATAAAGTTTAAAGTTTATAACGGGTTTAGTTTACAACAAATTAAAAGTTTTGTACATCTAAGACATCACAGTTTAATCCATCATCTGAAAATGGAAAGAGTGCAACAACTTTAAACCGAAAACCAGAAAAACCAAATGCCAGGCCAAACTTTAGAACAGCTGCAAAGAGCAACAGCTAAGGTGGGAGAAACGGTTGGTAAATAAATTGCATGTTGCTTCTGCAAATTTTGGCCTTCATGAAAAAGTGGCAAGAAGAAAACTAAAAGGGATTCTGATTGTAAATGACTCCAAGCATGGCGAATAGCTGACCAGAGAAGAAATGCTGCAATATAGAAGGTGCAACATTAACACTACATTATCTTCATCACATAAACTATTATGAAACATGGCGGTGGCAGCATCCTATTACTATTACAGAGAAATGGCTTAGATCACATCTTTTTCTTGTGCCAGACTGTTCTGAGTCTAAACCCCAGCTGAATCCTGCAGGGAATTTCTGAAAAGACTGTTGCACTGATTATCCAACATGCTTCCTATCAAGTCCGAAGTTAAACTATTTCAACAAAATCAAAAATGTCAAATCTGAGGTGTAAGAGACATGAAAAAGAAACTAAACAAATAAAGTTGTTCCTACGATTTCAGCAAATCGCCATTTTAAATGAATGCATTTTTTTTCCATCCACAGGAGAGACAAAAAAAAAAAGTTCGCCTTCATCATGTTAAGCATTTAATTGATCCATCAGAGGATTCAACCTTTAAGTCTGAGTTTTTGGCATGGGAAATTATACATTTCAAGAAAGGAGAATTTTTAGAATGAGTGATTCAACATTTCATAGCATTTATTTAAACTAAAAATGAAAGACTTGGAGATTTAAGATCAAAAACACAAAATGTGTGTCAAGGCATCCATGGTTTTGGAGGAAAACACAGTGAGGATAAAAACGCAGGCAAGACGAGGAGAACAGATATAGAATTTATTTTCAATACCCATTGCAAAGAATAGGAGGTGACACAGCTTGAAACAGATAATACAGAATTTATTTTTCAACCAGAAGTAGGAAAATACATAGGTAGGTGTAAAGGAAACAAGCAGAACCTGTAGTCAAAGGAAAAAAATATATATATATAATAAAAGAATAAAACTAGTCCAAAGAGAATCAAAAGGACGGCTAAGGGATACAACAGAAAGCATTGTTTACCATTCAGCTTCAGTTTTAAACAGTATGTGTTGATTTGAAAACAGCTGCCTTGATTTCTCATCTGGGTTAATGGACATTCTACAACATTGTGCAAGTGTTCATCTTTTTTTTTTTCCTTTTTTTTTGCTGGTATTTTATGAATGGTAAACAATAGTTGGTCCAGTGCATAAACACAGTGACACAGATCAATATATGTACTCAGCTGACTACAGATAGACAATCCTGATCATTTAACAACTACCACTAAAATTGGCAAGGAAATGAGCAAATATACAAAATGGATGATAAAACAGATTGTGTGCATGTGTGTGTGTGGGGGGTCCAGGTGCAGGTAGGAAGGTTTAAGATGAGCGAAACAGTTTAAGGATTAAACGGCTACATTTCAAAGTTGAAAGATAAAAGGATGTGTGACTTTTTCTGGTCATTATTGCCAAGTTTAGCTGATGGAAAGACAAACTAAACAGGATCGAAGAGAAAAAAAAAACAGTTTTTTTTTAAAGCCTTACTTTGCATGAAGACGGCAGTTCAGTTTTCCAAAATGAGAAATAAAAAAAAAAGGGTCGATTTGTGTAAAAAGTTGCCTCTAAAACAGAAGTGTTCTACGAGCGGCTTTGGTTTGCACCGTTACAAAAAGATGCAGCGAGAAGAAATGAAAAAAGAAAACAAAACTGAGCTAAATAAGCCTGAACACATAAAAAGCCTGCAACGTGACCCACTGGTGACAAAAGTCAGCTGCAATTCTACAGGTATTCAGAAGAAACAAGAACTGATTTGTGAATCAAACATACTATCTAGTTTAACTGATTGAACCACTGTAAAAAGCACATGATCAGAATGAGATGGGACTAGTAGCACAAAATAAAACAGAAAATCACAGGACCGGTCTAGCGGCACATCATTAGCTTTGCCGTACAAACACGTTTTCATGTTTTTTTTTTTCCTTTTTCTTTAGCTTTTTTTGAAACCCGTGAAAAAGTATTTGCTAAAACTGAACTGCAGCCACTAGTGAGACAGCTCTGCTGTCCTAACCTACGGACACCAGCACTCTCCAGCTAGTGCAAAGAAACATCCAAATAAAGCAAAATAAAACATCCCTGTTAGGTTTTAATAACTTCCTTCTTCAACGCAACCAATCAACCCGCTGAGACGTGTCATGGTGGAGGATTTGGTTTGTGGTGGAGATCAGAAAAGTCAAAGGTAAAAACAATGCAGGTCACCGTCAAGGTAGAAATCATGATTTACACATAAACACCAAAAATTGACTTTTTTAGAAAGGAAACAAGAAATTTTCTTTTATTCACACTTTACAAATAAAACAAAACAAAAAAAGGCTACCCTTTACATCTAGTACAATACTAATGCCATTCAGGAAAGAAAACTCAATTTGGACACATTGATTTTTACTGCAGGAGAGGGGAGAGACAAGAGGAACCAGAGGCAGGGACCAAGCTGACATGTCCCCATTTTCTTGCTTTTCCAACATTTAAGTTTCTTCTTAGAGAATCAGTGGAGCTGCATCTGAATCGCTTAAGTGCATTTCAAATAATCTCACATTTAACTTGTTTTTGAGATGGAACAAATCCGATTTAGAACTGACAGCCTGGCTCTATTTTTTTTGACAGAAACAAGAAGTAAAAAGCAGAGATCAAATGGGCTCTTCCACCCTTTCCAATACAAAAGGCAAGGGGCAGGGGGGCGGTCCACAAATGGCACTATAGCTGCAATGGCAAGGGTAGAAAATCTACACAAAGAAAAGTGGGACAAAAAAGGTTAAAACATTTGAGAAGTGTATCAGAAAAAGTTTGAGGTTGGGTGGTTTATGATGAGGGGAGAGGGATATGCTCGCGAGTATATTTGTGGCCAGGAAGGAAGCTGGGTTGGTGGGGAAGCAGGTCATCTGGGCGCAGAAATAATCTGAGTGAATGTATAAAGAAAACCCCGCTCACGTTTCCTTACAGCGGAGAGGGGGGGGTCAGCGGAGCATACCTGATTACTAGAGAGCTCAATGAATGGGAAGGATATACACATCATCAGAACATCGTCACATTTCATTAAAAAAAAGGAACTGAACATTAACAAAAAAAAAAAAAAAAAGACATAAAATCTTCACAAATATCTCAACAGTATTTAAAAATAAAAGGAGAGGAGGCTGCTCGAGCTATCGTTGAATGTAAATAGTGCAAGACAACATCAACTGCTACAGTGAGTACGAGACGTACGCGCAGGACTTTTCTCCGTGTTGAGTCGTTTACACTTCGCTTTGGAGCCAGGTGAACTGACTTGGGTCGGCGCAGGGTGTCCTTCCGTCCGAAAAAAACAAAACAAAATCGGCATCAGTCCGGATCGTCGGCTTTGTTAATGGGCAGAAAGCAACAGGTAAAAATCGACTGTCTATTTACATCATAGCAAATGAATCAAAACGATGCTGAGGCGTTACAGTTAATCTCCTGGGAGTGCAAAGAAGAAAACAGCAAACGGCGCGAGCAGCCTCCTCTGACGTCTCTTTTACAAGCTGGTAATATTAATTCATCTTAACATTAACTGGATAAAAATTTAGCCATAGTTTACAATACAATCTTTTTTTTTTTTTCCTTAATCTGACCATAATTTATTCTTCGTACAAAAAAATGCCAGAAAACAGGTCTTTTTGTGTTTCATATACAATCATGTAAAGACTGAGTCTAGATTTCTATTCTGTACAAACACTCTGGTGAAAAATCACTGCTCCTGTGTGTGAACGTATGGCTGGGGTGGGGTGGGGTTCACTACTGGCCTTCGAGACAGTGCTACACATCTGCCTGCACATTACCTCTGTGTGTGTGTGTGTTTTTGTGTGACAGCTTGCATGAGTGAAGTTGGAGGTCATCTGATAGTGAGAGGAATGCTGGTTTTACTCGTCAGCCATTTTTCACTCTCTGGCTAAAAAGCAAACGACACTGAAAAGGTTTGCTAAAGCCCCCCCTCCCTCTGTCGATCGGCCCAACTCCCTTGCTCCTTACCGTAAAAAAAAAATCTGATACTCCGGGACACATGACTAGCATAGCAATTATACAAGCCGGAGGGGGAAACTGTCTGCAAAAAGGATGGTAGCTGCTCTCAGTTTCTCTTTATTTTCCTTCTTAAAACTGCTGATGTCCCACTAATCTGCTTGTCAATGCACCAGGACCAGGGGTCAGAGTTGTGGACTATCTTGTAGCACCGCAGGAGGCCGTGACCACACAAAAAAAAAGGCCTGAGCACCACAGAATGACAGCAGAAAATATCCCCTCAGATCAGCTGCAGTGCATCCGCTGGTTAGGATGCTTATCTAGTGATAAAAAAGCGGCTCAAAACCCGACTGACAATTGACGCCGGCTGCCCAGAGCGCAGATGGATAACGAGCACGAGCCAAACATAGCGGACTGAGACCGACGAGTCTGCTGTCTTTGCTGGTTTTAGATTTATACAGGGACAGACAGACAGACAGCTCTTCAGCTTCTCAGCTAAATGTCACCCACTCAGCCGCTTTTGAGCCTCCCTATTAAACCACACAGAGCCTCGTGTAATGAATCTGAATGAGCTACCATCCCCTCTAGTTGGAAAGATGGCGAAAATAAAGTATGCAGGGGTTTATGAACCGAATGAGAAGAGGGAGTCCAAAAACACTTGATACATAAACAGGACTGAACCAAGCAGTTAAAAAAGGACGTAAAAAGAAAATCAGAAAGAAAAAAAGAAAAATATAGAATATCTATAACATTGTATACGAAATCCCTGTCAGCCAGACCTCAATGTACGAATATTTTGTAGGTTGTGTCGGTTTTGTTTCGGTCTCCCTCCTCCAGAGGTGGCGGAGGTAAGAGCTGGTTGAGGGAGAAGCTGTGGTTGCAGCTCCCCCTGGTGGCATGGCAGGGGCTCACTACCTGCGTGCAGGCAGGTGAAGCCCATTGACCTGGGAGGGTACACTGGGCAGGAGCAACTCCAGCTGAGCATAGAGGGAGAAGTGGTCAGAGGGGATGTGGGGGTGTGGGCAGCCGCTGACATTGTTCTCTACCAGCCAGTGAGGGTCCAGGGGGCCCAAGATGCCCAGCACGTTCAGGTGAGGCCTGGAGTAGAAAATATAGTCGATGACACCCTGTGGAAGACCAAAAAATTGAATTATAGTAGGCAAATAAACGGCTGTGTTCAGCTTAAAAGTTTCCATACCTATTAGGAAGAATGTCATTAATTTGGGGGTTTATATCACATCTGCAAACACTTTGTTTATAAAACTTTAAAAGCAATTTTATAACCTCTACCAATTCTACTAACAAAAGTAAAGATAAATCTATTTACAGGAGCAGGTACGCATCTTAAAATCAACAGAAGCTGTAGGCTGTATCGGTATCACACCCTGAATAGTAAAACAGAAGACCAGAAATATGAAAAAATGAGCTTCATTTATTATACATTACCTTAAAATCGAAGGTGTAATTGGTGTAAGGCATTAGGCCGTTCTCATAGGCGCTCTTCAGCTTGAAGCCGTGGGTGATCTTGCCGTTGGACGTGCTGTTCTTTCCGTTGCAGTTAAATTTGGTCAGGCTGTCACTGTAGCGAAGCTCCTTGAAGTCTTTGTGGGTGCAGTCCACCCCACCGGTACTCAGATACTCCACCACACCTGAGAGGGGGAAAGAAGTAATCAATGGTGAGCAACAAGAGGAGGAGTCTGGATAAAACAACAATAAACCCGTTCTCTACTGTTCTATAAGATTAATAAAGAAAAAAAAACAATTTTGATTTTGTTTGGTCCATTAGTAATCTTTGTTTCCATTTACATTAAAAACAAAAAAATAAAAATAAAAACTGGAAAAAAACATGTTTATGTTAGTATATATTGTGTCCACTAATCTGGGTGCCTGCCCTGCCTTAAAACAGTGGTTTTCAAAGTGGAAGCTTCAGGGGGGAGGGGCTTAAGAAAATCTCAGCAAAAAGAAAAAAAATATGCAGAAACAACAAATGGGTAAAAAAAAAAAATTCAATATTATAAAATAGTATAAATATTTTATAATCATTTATATAGAATAAAACGTTCAACTACATATCATATTAAGATAAAAAAAAAAACAAGGAACATGGATACTTCTCCCCAGGGATGGAAAAAACAAAGCTAAACAGGGGAACCATCACAGTTAAACTACCTAAATACTTTTTTCAGTCTAAACGCACTCAAAGAATTAGAGCATGTCTACTATGGAGGGAACAAAATTAAATAAAATCCTGAAATTAATGTTAATGTACCATGAAATAAATGAATTCAACATGGAAAACAGTGTGTGTACCATTAAATAATTACATGTAACATTTATTTATGTAATACATCAAAATGTAATTAAATAATTAATCATTTAATTAAACAGAGTTTTGAAAATTCTTATTTTTAAAACCACATAAAGTAAAATATACATTTTATTCTTCACTTCATTACAGTGTCGACACAATGAACTCATGAAATGATTCAAACTGTCAATCGAACACGATTAGGGAGACTTCTATAAAGACGCTCACAATGAGCGAGACAACTTCTCGTTTGCTAGGACACTGAGGCTGTGTCCTAACATGCGCCCTAATCCCTAAATCTCTTTATAGAGCAGGGACTATATAGGGGACTTTATAGTGAACCCAGTTAACTTAAGGTTTGGGCAGATGACCGTTATTTGTCCCTCTCCAATTGGTCACATATCTCTGCCTCCCCCCGTGGTGCAAGTAACATCTTTATTATTAGTCGCCGCTACGACAAATCCCATGATGCTTTGGGAGGAGAGCTCTCGCAAAGCATCTGGTTCTAGTGACCACTGATGATAACTACTTTTGAAGGTGCATTGTGGGAAATTTCGTGTCCACTCCTTTTTCATCCACTAGATGTTTGGACACTCATCTAAAATGGCGTAACCACTATATCAGGGGTCGACAATCCGCGGCTCTTTAATGGCCCTCTTGCGACTCCCTGGAGCCTTCTCAAAAATTTATAAAAAAGGAAAAAGGTGAATTTTTTGTTTGTTTGGTTGGTTTAATTTGGTGTACAGAAGGGCAAACAAACAATGATGTAAAAATTTGTATAATTAATACATTTAAGTAATAAATTTAAAAATTTCTTTCAAGGAAGATTTGTGTCATAGCCTGCAACACATGTTTCAGCTTGATGCGTGCCAGGCAGGTGGCTGTCATAAACAAAGCGGCTGGTGTCTCAGGCCATGGATTCCAAAGGGAAAAAAAGGAAGATAGCTGATGAGAACAGAGGATTCAAATTTGAATGGACTGAATCGTTTACTTTCATTACCAATGCGGAAGGATTGTCTGCACGTCCGCTTTGTGGAGGGAAGTTGTCAAATTACAGAAAGAGTAATTTGGAAAGGCTTTTCCAGGGAAGGCAGGCTAAATTTGCAACCTACCATCAAGTTGGGAGAGAGAGAGAAAAAAAAAAAGTGTGCTTGCACTACTTCGGGATAAGTAAGAGGAGAGCAAAGATAGATTTAGGAAGTGGATTGCATCTCCAAACTACACTACTACTGCTAGTTTTGTTGCAAAACAAAAATAAAAATAGTACCAAAAATCGTATGTCTCTTTAATTTAATCAATGCAACAAAAACTAATAGATTGATAATTGCAATGTCTTTGCTATACACTCCTGGTTAGCAACATATTGTGGACCAAACTAGGGTGTTTGGTCCACAATATGTTAAATAAGTTAATGAAACAGCACACAATGGACCTGCCTTTGATTTATTTTTGTTTTGTTATTCTCAACAGTGTTTTAAAAGGTTTGTTATTCAATGTGAACCTAATAGTGTTGAAACATGTTGGTTAACATCTCCATGCTAAACAAACGTAGCAAATACTGAGTAGGCATACAAATAAAAAAATTTAAAAAGTACATATTTCTTTACATATTCTGTGGCATTGTCTGTTAGTTTGCAAAGGTGGTACTCAGCCAGAAGTTACTGCTTCTCTGGGGGCTGTGGAGTGGAAAACTTTGCTAATTACCAAAGGCTTCTATTGGTGTTGCTGCTTCAAAAATGAAAATGAGTAGGCTGGGCCACCATGTCACAAAGATGACGCCTACTAAAAGATAATCATCTGGCGTTCAAATAGCAGCTACAAAGAAATGCCTGCATGTGTCTGACCTGTGAGAGACCACGGTGCTCTGAAGTTTGCAAAGTAGAGCTAACTTATCAAAACCGCTCTGCCTGAACCAGAGCACTACGTACACAGGCTGCACATGGCAGCAGGTGAAGTTCTGATTACTGTATGATCAGTGTGGTGGCTGATGGGAACATCACTTCTAGCAAATTACTGAGCCTAATGTTCACATAGAGCTGTCTAAAAAAAACTAAGGTGTGGAACCTTGGATAAGGTCTGTGATGGGCAAAGGTTTACCACATCATGGATGAGTGTATGCGTATGGAAAGAGCAGCATATAGCTGAAGCTGTTTGGTGCGTGGCAAAAACAGAGCCACTTATGATTTTCTATAAAATAGGCTTTATTCAGGGATCAATAGAAAAATACTTCAGCAGTCTCTCTTTATTCCTACAGATCAATCTGTAGTTTTGAATGTTCTTGGTATAAATTAGAATCTCCATCCACATTTCTGCCTCAAAAAGTCTATCCTGCAGTTCTCTCTCTCTACAAACGCATACGTATAGATATATATACACACCTATACATATCTCTCTTGTCTTTGAATGCTTAGGGCATTACACATGAATCATGGACAGACAGACAGATATAGCAAAAGCAAAGTGTATAAAATTTACAAAAAACTTTCTACATGCATAAGTAGTTCATGGTCTTCATACATCTCTGGGTTAATATTACCTAGTTTATGCCAATAGCATTCTGTAGTGGCTTGAAAATGGAAGTCTACGCAGACTAATGGCCTCTATGAACAACTCCACTGCTTCCTGAACTTATGACACCTCCTTTGTTTCCTGACTTTCATTAGTGGATGAATCCATTAATCCAGGTGTGTCTGGCCATTATCGTTATGGTTACCTAGGTAAGGCACACCTGGATTAATCAGTACATCCAGTGGAGAACAAAAACAAAAGAGCTACCTCAGGTTGTGGAAGTAGTGGAGTATTGCATTGAGTCCATTGTGACCAAAGATCTTCCCCCCACGCTAGAGGAAGGTTTATTTCTGAAGATCCTCTCTGTAAGCTGGATCATTAGTTGTAGTTTGCAAAAATACCAGCTGCACTCTCCTGGTTACTCTTTATCTGCATGCTACTCTGCTTGAATCCAGGCATACTCATTTTATTTTGAGAAATTACTTCTGAAAAACTGCTACAGCTCCCTGAGAAGAATCTTATTGAAATTCACTACAGTTTAAAGAAATGGCACTATAACACCAAATGTATACACTGCAAATCAACGTAAAAATTAATAATAATTTCTTCAAATAAGTGTATTTACGGTTCATTTGAGTAGGTGACCTGCCACTGGAATAAGTATTTTTACTAGACATCATTCGCTTGAAATAAGAGACTGCATTTTTTTTGCTGTATGCATTTTCTTTATTTCTGAGAAGGTCAGTTAGCGAGATTGATAATCTAATTATCGAGTAGAAATGAAGGCACTTTAACAACCAAGTATAATAGACTACTTTCTGTTTTAAAATGTGAAACAAAAACTGATTCTTTGCTACGGTCGAATGAAATATTGTTTTATTACGTTTAGTTTATTACTTTTCAGAACATTAACCTAGTTCATAAATCACACCAATAAAATTATAATATAAGTGTACAGAATATCAACAATGCATAAATTAAAAAAAAGTACCAAACCCAAGCACTAATAGGAAACAAAACATTTAAAAAATATCCTACACTGTGTTTTTAGCATCCTTTTTTACACCAATAATGGGTTCCAGAAGAGGTTTTTCGATATTCGACAGAAAATTGTCAGCATGACTTTTTCAAGGTGCATAGTCACGTTAATAGACTTTTTTTTTTATTTATTTATTTATTTTTTATTACACAGTTTTCTTACTACGGGTTTTTTCGAAAGATAGTCGCCCTCCTGCTGGGTTATTTTTTTATTAATTTTGTATTTTAAGATTTATTCTATCTGAACTCCTTTTTAAATGAAATCCTTTGAGTAGATTTACAATAACAGATGTAAAATACCGAGCATGTAAACAGGGAGGTAGCCTGTATTGAATACTTTAGAAAAAATATACCCACTTTAAATAATTTTTTTATCCAAAGCTTCATTCATTTTAATAATAAATTCTATTAATACTATCAGTGTTTTATACAGAAGCCACTTTGATGATAGTACAGAATATTACATGACTGGCAGTAATTTGAGATTCTTTGCTAAATCAACTTCAATCTTTGAGAAGCACAACAATATTGAAAGAGATTGATTAATTTAAAGGTTCCAGAATATATATGAACTATTAGGCTATCAAATTGTAGGAATTACATAAGATGTTACAATCAGATTTTTCCACTAGTCTAGTTGGCTGGATATTGAAATCTGGAGGGATGTGAGACATATTTAGTTTTCCTTATTTATTCCAGTTCTAAGAGGTTAGCAACACTATAAATGAAAAATATAATATCAGTGTCAAGAGGAACCAAATTAAAATGCTAACAGCAGCATGTCAGGTTTTAATAAAGAGCTGCTAAAAATGTAGTCACCTTCACATGAATTAGAAAAGGATTTAAGAAATCCAACCCCCACTGACTTTAAATGGACTTCGAAAAGTTAATGTTTTGTTTCACTGGCATTAGTTTTTGGCTAAATTGTATAATTCCTTTTTTATCCCCAGGAGCAATAATACACAATGGAAATAACCAACAAATAAACTGTTCTCAGTTTCTTACCAGAGTCGGGTAAGGAGTTGAGATCAGCACACAGCACCAGTGGAATGGCGCTGGTCTCACCAGACGTGGAAATCTTGAAGCTGCGTGTTGCCTTGTCCACGATATTCTTCACCTCTGACAGGAACATCATGGTCTGGACCAGCTTGACATCAGAGTACTCGGGATCCCAGTGCATGTGAGCGTTTGCAACGAGCAGAAGCTGCTTGTCCAAGCCATGGAGTGACTTACCAGCTTAAAATAAATAAGCATAATTACAACGTGCTCTCATAAAATATGCTCATGAAATAAAAACAACACAATTTAAATTTAATCACAAATGTAGAAAACCAAGATTTCTAAGAACTCCAGTAATAAGGGTGAAAAGGTACTCACAAGACATTTCCATTATCTCTTTGCGAACTTCCAGCAGTACAGCGACCCCGATGTTGTCCTTCGTCATCACCCTGTTCAACATTGCCTCTGAGCCTTCGGAGTTCGCCATAGCCAGCTGGTTGAACTCCACTGTGTGCTTCTGCACAGCACTGAACCTAGACAGAGAAAACAAGGAGAAATGTTTGTGAAAGAAATAGGAATTATGTTGCAAACGTTGTGAGAAGAGGAACATGTGATTCTGACTGGAGCCGATACCATCTATTGGACATTACTGATGAAAATGATGTTTAAAAACTCAATGACTTTTAGACACCTGAAGAGGGATTTAAACTGCAATTAGATAATCTAAAACTCCCTAATGAACTACATTTTAAAGAAACTTTACAAAGTTTTTAAAGGCTGAAGTGGTATCAAGTATAAAATTAAGTTACCTGTGAGCAGATAAATAATACAAGCTTAGATTCAATCATTTAGGTCAAACCAGAATTTGCCCTGTATATGTCACAATTTAACTCAAGGTAAAACAATCTATTTACATTTTATTCTGCAAAATGCAATAAATAAATCAAATGAAAGATTTCATAAAAAAAAATAAATAAATAAATAAAATCTATAGAAATCTATATAGACGTCAGCCAGATAAGCTAATCAAACAGTAGCCAAATTTTGAACAGAAAACAAGAAATCTGTTTTAATTCTCAGTAATGTTTGGTCCTGGATCAAGATGTAGGTTTTCTTTCTATCTAGTTCTCAGTTTGAGCCACCTTTGCTTTTCCTCTAAGTTTGACTCCACTTACTTTTCCGTTTTGAAGAAAATTGCACATCCGTCCACATGTTTACGGTCCGACTCAGACATTGTTCTGGCGCGAGACTTTGGACTGAAGAACCCGTCGTATCCCTGCTCTTTCAACTCTGGCAAGAAGAAATTGTAGTACTGCTCCGTTTCTACTTCCTGTAAGTCAACCAAAATAAAAACAAATAAATTAGTGACCAAAAAGCTAAACATTTCTAGGACAGACACTGGAAACTAGCTCAACATCTTTCAGAATAGGTCTATGATGTCCTAAAATCATAAAGTATAGTTTGAGCTCCAGAAAAAAAATGAAGGCAACGGAACAGAAGCACAAACATCTGCAGGCAAAACATCAATTGACTCGGATCCTATTCTTTGTTCAGACCCACTTTAGGACAATTCTTGTAGTCTTAATTATGGTATAATAATAATAATAATAATAATAATAATAAATTATAATAACTATTGTGTTTTTAATAATTTTATTGTGTTTTTTCTCATTTTCAACTACATTACAACTTCTAAACCACTTTTTGAATTATCAGTAACTGCATCACGAAAAAAATATTCTTCAGCAAACTATTTTCATGAAATAACTTGAAATCTGATTTCATGCTTAAATAGGAACAATGTTGTAATTAGTCCCTCTATAAACTAACATTAACATCATTATTAATATTATTCATTGTTTATGATCGCCAATCCCCGAATGTAGTTTTGAAATTAAAGCCAAAATTTGTACCTATTAGATACATGATTTTGTAAATTCTCATTAAAAGACCCACAAACTACCAGGTCAGATAATCAGCGGATTGGAGTGAGCGACATGATCATATCAGGTTGTGGAGGATTAAAATATATCAACAATCTGCCACAGAAGAAAGTTCGTAGGGTTTTCTAAGGACTGATGGATGCAGCTTAAAAACTAAATCAATATCTGCCAACATACTGGATATTTTTCTTTCAAAGCCATTAAAAATCCCATATCAGTAGGACTCTACATTATACAACATAATTTTTGTCCTTTACTTCTTTTCCTACAGCCCCACTAATTAACTTTAACGATCCAGAGAAGAAATTTTGTTTTGTGTTCAAACACATAGTTTGTATTAATGTTTAAAACCCAATCTATGCAACCAGAACTACAGAGCTTTAGTTTCCCCACTAAATATATCATGTTGGATTTTTCGCCTCAGATGCAAGCAGGAAGCAGGCTGGGTTATAAAAATAAAGACCATAAACTGTTAAGTATAGCTGTACTTTGGAATTTATAACAGCACAAATTTCCTCAACCTCTTTCCATGCAGGAGGAAGCAACAACGCAGACTGATAAGATTTTTTGGCTTTTAAAACATTGTTATGAATATTGAATAATTTGAGCTTTGGCTGCTAATTAAAACAATCTTTTTTTTTATTCAACACAAATTAACTGCTTATGGAAATTAAGACAAAACCTAACTATTTTATAAAGTCAGATTTGTGTTTTTACAATGTCAACATGTTGGCCGTTCAATCAAATTTAAAGCGATGAAATGTTATGAAAGATTTGTGTATATCTATGTTTAACAGAATATATAATCTTGTGTTGAAAGAAAACAATAACAACGATATGACCGACAGATTGGGTGATGTATGGCCCTTTCCCAGCCGAATGGCACTACTCAACTCCAACTTTAAAATGCTTCTGTTATTTTTTTAGTACGACTCTTTTCAGCCCTATTCAGGAGGAGGTAAGATTACAGATGAGTAGCAGTAAACACAGCCGGTACAGATACTAACACACATACACACACATATATATATATTTTTATAATAACCAAATGTTTGGACAAGGAAACCAGCTGAAATTTGCATTGGCTCTCAGCACTGGTTACATCGATGCTGCTAACTTTCTAATATTTAGCTTAGAAACGCCAATTCTTACAACATTGCTGTCAGCAATTCCTTTCAATACAATTTAATGAATGTCTTCTGGTAAGTTCAGATATATATTCATGATTTTTAAGTTATGATATTTAAGAAATATGTCTTTACTGTGTTCAAAGTAAAACAGAAAATGGCAGAAAACTTAACATTATACATTTTTGAAATTACTCATGAGGCTTTTGGGAGAGTATTTATAGTAAAGTCACAATATTTTACACAGATGTTCTCAAGTACAGTCTTTGGGTGAGTCTGATGGAAGCTGTTCTGGTTTTCTCACTTCAATGTTTCAATGGGAATTTGTTAAGATGTTTCAGGTTTTCTAGAGCTCATTAGCTTTGGATTTATTTATTTTTGTTGTAATTAAAAAAAGCTCTACAACACAAATACTTAAAAGTAGTAAATGTAATGATTGGAAGGACAGGGTGTGTCTATATTTTGTGATTTCTATCCCCCACAATTTCCCCTTTGTGGGACAATATGGGATTTTGCATTCTATTCTAACCTGCATGCCAGGTCATAGCTTTACCCTAACGAGGTTGAGCCCAGATCTAAAAGGCAAATAAACATGGGAAATAGGGTTGGTTTCTTCTTCAGAGTTAAGGGCCATGTATCCTCCCGCAGCTTGTGTTGTAGTTAGCTTGTCGCAGCTATGACGCAGATATTTTTGATTTATGCCCGATTTTGAAGCGAGGTCTGCGCTATGTTATTCCACGATTCACAACGCAAGAGGGACACCCACGAACTACTTAGGATTGTAAGTGACTGTGTGTCGGTTTGACGAGATTGTTTGATGTCTACAACCCCTTATCCAGCGCTGGACAACACAGTTCACCCGTGATTGTTTCCGAAAGACTGGCCGTGGCGCTGCGTGTTTTGGCTTTGGGTGGAAACTGAAAGACAGTCACACAGAGCTACTAACTAGCTTCCTTTCCTTGTTTTCCTTTTTTTTTTTAGGGGGGTAGGCGCACACCTGCATTAACTGCAACACACATGCAGACGACCTGGTTTCTGAGCATAAACCAGGCTTTAGATGGATGCAGGTTAGTTAAAATGGACCAGCAGCTGCCTGATGGCCATCAGTTTAGGTGATCTCACACAGACGGGGGTGGGTTGCTGCAGTGTCACAACGCATTAACTGCCAGTTTTCTGCTTCATTTTGATTAGATGTGCTGGAAAACTTGTGTCTAGTAGGTGACAACATTTGACAATTACTTCCTACGGTTCTCCTCTGTGTTGTTCTTCGCCGCACCTAATGGCTCAGCATGGCATTCGCTGTGTTCAGGAGATGGATTAGAGATGGAGACCCATCCTGTTTCAGCTTTGATCTCTGTGTTTTTATTCTCTTAGCTCCGATTAGGAGGGAAATTAAAACAACATGCAGAAACATTTGGAAAAATTATTTTGAGTTGCCAGGCAAATTTTCAGGAAAAAAAAAAATCAGTTGCACTCATCTTTTTAATGTTCATACTGTGAAGCCCTGACTGATGAATTTCATTCATTGTGACATGACAGACTGTTACCGGGGGAACTTCTCTGACGATATATTACATACAGTAAAAAATCGTCAATCTCCTCATTTTTTAAATTATCCAATTTGCAAATTTTGATTGATTAAAACACTGCATCTTTTTCCCCTTCAGCTGAAGGCACCAAAATGACCCCACTGTAACTGAAATACCGGATATTTATTTTCTACTTTATTTAAGTAACTGCAGTGGGGTCCTCATTAGGAAATTAATCTTTCTACAAATTGAACTGAATGATAATGATTTAATTCATTCTAACATAGAAGATTCATCTCTACATTTATAGTAATATACTGTCCAGTTTCAATAAAATCAAAGGGTTATTGTAAAACATAAATGTCAGCGATATTTATTTCGTAACATTAAGCTGCAACCTGAGCTGGGCTGTTTATGCAATATGTCCCACAAAGGGAGTTTGTTTAGCAGTGTTTCTGCATAAGGCATGACCTCTTGCTGAGTTTTATTTGGTGTAATCATGTGATGTAAGGCCAAAATTTACACTCTTAACAGAAAGCGGTTTTAAACCTTGTAAAGATAAATTATAAAATGAAATACATCTACTACAAAACCTTTTTGCATGCTTTATTATTTCTTACCTGCAAACTGATGATGTCTGCATTGCAGCCCATGATTTCCTGCATGATAGATTTCTTCCTGTACTCCCAGTTTAGAGCCCAGGAGGGGCAGTAGCCATATAGCTGTCGTGTGGCATACTTATCGCACAGCACATTGTAACACATAACAGAGAACAGTGCTGTGAAAGAAACAAAATGACACATTTAGTTTAACAGAGTAATATAGGCAAAATCTTCTATATGAATGATTGTAAGAAAAGAAAATCTGTGATGCTACTAGCTTTAAATTCTGCAATGAAACAAGGAGGTGCCAAAATTTGTCTTAAAAATGGGGAAAGAATGTTAACCTTTAGCTACTTTTATTACTACATGTATATGCTTGTGTTCTGCTTTAACAGCAATAATATGTAAAAAAAAAATAAATAAAATAAAATTAGAAAAAAATGTTAGCATCTGTTAAAAGTAGTGATATGTGTGCATTAGCCTCACTTGCTGGACGTGTTCGGTCCGGTTCCTGGAGTGAGATCCACGACCTGGCTGGTGGCTGCTCTGTGGGTACTGGGCAGAAGAGAGAACCTGCTCATTATGAAGAGCAATAAAGTTTTGTTTTTAAACATGGTGCAAATCAGCATTGCTTGGAGGTGAGCCGACGACACTCAACTCCATAATTCTTCTATCCTTTAAACCAGCAGAGTTTAACTGAAATTTTATATTTATTTTTATTTTAACAAGTCCGATTTTATTTACAGTGGTGAAAAAGTAAACTCGTGTAGTGTCCCTTTATTTGTTCAGGGGCATTACTAGAATGTCGTTAAAGACGTAAAAAAAAAAAAACTTTTTTTTTTTTAACACACAATTCTAAAATAGGGTTTCATATGCGACGTGAGTAATAATAGACAAAAGAGCGAACAGCAATATCAATAGCAGCTCTAATAATAATAATATTAGCAGTAGCAATAGAGCAGTCGTTATAATAGTAGTTTGTGGTGACAGTTGTAGTAGAAATAACGTAACAATAACAGCAGTGGTAGAAGTATTAGCAATATTTTTAACAGGACAGATAAAAGCACATTATATTCCATACATATGAATAACTTCTTGTTGTAGACCAACAGCAGAAAGAACAAATGAGCATTTAAACCAGCAGCTCAGGCCACTCAAGAGTCAGAACTGTCCAGTTCCTCAAACAGGGTGAAGGTTTATCAGAATGGTTCTCATTTTTCCCCACCAACCTCTTCCCACACACGGCAACTTAAAACTGTTGAGACCTCCCCAACCTATCTAGCTTGTTGGCCTCTTGACCTTTGATCCCACTTTTACAAAAGATGACACTGGCAGAAATCCTACAACGACCACTCACACCTACTAAAGGACCAATTTCTCCAGAGCTTGTAGATTTACACCCAGTCTTATTCCTTAAAACATGGCCTAGAAGGTCCTCTGTTCTTTTGACAGATAACTTCTGTGCCGCCAGTCTACAGTCTTCTGTACTCCTTGCTGTCCTCAATGACACTTTGGACAATGGAGGAGTCGTCACAGAACTTCGAGATGGTGGCACGAACAGGATTTTAAATGCAAGTAAGCATTGTGAAGAGAAATGGTGCTGATATATTACCCTGGGATGCTCCAGTATTTCTGATTACAAAAGTAGAAAAACGGCTGCCAGGACTGACCTACTGTGGTTGCAGTCAGTGATGCAGAAAGTAGTGTTTGGCTTCAGGCGAATATCGAGAAGTATTGCTTTTAGTAGGAAGGGCTGAACTTTTAGTTACCAGGAGGTAAAGGTGGATTAATATATCAACATAGCAATCACTTTTTTCCCCCAATTCAAAATCAGTAAAAAACTTTAAATGAATTAGTTCTCCGAGCCGCCCAGTTTCTGATCAATATTTTAAAGTTGATAGGAGTTAAATTGTGATGTTCCGAACACCCAGACCTACTGGGAGGAGAAATCATCAGATCCACCAGCTTTGCTGCCCTGGAGCTTGGACAGCTCCCACTGTACCTGATGGTGGGGAGAGAGTGAGGCACAGCCAGCCAATAGATAGCAGGCATGATTGGATCAGAAGCCAGTGATCCTTATTATTAAACTTAGATGTTAAGTTGATAACAATCAACTTAACTTCCAAATAGGAGTTCACTGGAGTGGGAGATGATTCAAACTTGTTAAAAAGCAGATTCAGCTCAAAAGAAAACCTGGTTTCCCTCCATTTTGTAAAGGAATAAAAAAGTTCCACATCTCCTTTATCCAGGTTTTTACCTCTTTACATATTTCTCATCTTCTTGTGCTCATTCTGGAAATCCAGTTTGTCCCGACGCAAACTACCTCCTCTTCTGATCAAACAAAGCCTTAGTTCCTCAATTTCCCCCAAGAATTATTACAGAAAAAGCCAATGGCGGAAACAACGGAGTCCTCACAGAACCAGACAGTCAGGGATGGAATAGCTCCCAGTTTTATCTGAACAAACTCCTGGAGAGCCTTAGCTTACCCAGCCCAAGTCTGCACAGTACATTGGCCCAGACCATCAGTCTGCCATAATGATTGAGTATGACAATCCAGCTGGTTAACTGGTTAACCACCAGGAGCTAATAGTCTGAGCTAATAGTCTGAGCAGTAGACATGTTCCTTCATTGAACATGTCCAAGATGACACCATTTGAAGTTAATAAAGACAGCAAGATCTCCCTCTTATCTTAATGCTTTGATTCCCTCTGTCAGCTTGAACAACTGAAAAACCACCAAGTTTAATCTCTATCCTGGTATCAGTGAAGGAGATTAAACTAGATTCCCTAGGAGTTAACTGGTGTTTAGTTGCCAGTTTATCATCCCCCATTCTTAGGAAAAGACATTTCCCATAATGACTGCAGGAAGAAAGGGTTTAAATCCTCTGTGTCTCTTATTCCTCTCCTTTAGTTTAACTCTGAGTTCTCCTCCTTACATCCATTGTAATCTACAAAGAGGGAATTCCAGCACCATGCTGGTACTGAAGCAGCTCCTCTGGAGAATAAATGATCACACCCCCCAAGATGTAGAGGAAAAACAGACTAATTATCACTACAAAAAAAAAAGAAAAAAAATCCTACCATATCAATAAAGAACAAAATCTAAAGAAAAACCTGCCCTGCCTCTGGTTGCTCAGCAACAGAATTAGAAACCAAAAAATCAAAAGAGAAGCTCCTAAAAACAAATCAACATGGCTCAAATAATGAATCATTTGAGCAAAATGAGGGGCATTCAACTCCAGGTCTCAAAGGACGATGCCCGCTATGTTTTAGATTTGTTGCTCACCTGATATTATATATATATTTTAAGTGGATAGTAAACAAGCTTTCACTGAATTGCAGTCACCTGCATCAGGCCCGTTAAAAGCAGAGGATGATCTAAAAGGCTCAAAACAAAGATCATCCAAGGTGAGTTTAGTACCCTTGCACTAAAAATGGCATAAAACAAAAGTACAAATGGGCAAAAAAAGTAAAGTGAAAAATCAAGAAAAACTTGAAAAAAGGAGAGAGCTATTATAACAGTTAGCATCTCTGCAACACTTAAAAAAAAACAGGAATTTACAAAAATCTACTTAAAAATCTGTTGACTTTTTGAGTTTATCTGTATTTTTATGCATATATAACATAAGAGGGAAAAAAAAAAAACACACTTCTGGCTCCTGTCTTCGATCAGCAGAGGATGATACTCACTGCGCTTTATAGCCCCCGCCAGATTGTCCAACAAGTAGCTGAGCAGTCTCCGTGTGCCATCAGGTTCCTGATAGAGGCTCATAATTTCTTGTGCAAGTGGATTTCCTGGAAAGAAAGATATTCAGCCTGATGCAACTGCCAAGCACACAACAGGAGTACTAGGTAAAAAGAAACAAATAGAAAAAATAAAACATATACATATAAATAAAAACATTGGGAAGACACCTACCTTTTAACCCCAGTGTCTGTAACTGAAAAAGTTTTCCCAATTCAAATGGGAGAACTCGCAACTGGTTGTTATTTAAAAGCAATTCCCTGCAGAGGAAAAGTGAGGATTAGATAAAAAAAAAAAAAAACAGCAATATTTACATATATTTGAACATTTTTACTACACAGCTTGAATAAAGATTTTTACCAAAAATCATCATACTTCTGTATTTATACAATTAAATTATAAACAAAGAGCCCAAATGCTGAAGCAAAAGTGACCTGGGGTGACGGCTTTCTTTATCTCTGCGCTAATTGCATTATGTAAGCTGGTAGCACTGACCTGAGAGACACCATGTTGCCGAGCTCTGCCGGCAGGCTCCTGATCTTGTTGGATGAGAGATCCAGGTACACCAGGTTGTGTAGTTTGGCAATGTCTGGCGGGATGCGTGACAATGAGTTGTCACTGAGGTGTAGGGCAGTGAGGTGGGTTAGAGACCACAGGGCTGTGCTGAGACTTCTTACTCTGCCTGCAGAAACCATGAACCAACAAGAGCACCAAGGTTACATTTAATGTATTTAAATAGTTGGATACATTGGTTGGAAACTGAAATATAATCTGTGGCTAAACAACTAAATGAAAAAATAAAACAACTTAAACTGATGTGATCATTTAAACTAACACAATAACATATTGAGAGAAGCACTATAAATGTCTCGGGACCTTTTACAAAGCAAACAGAAACAATGCATCTATATAAATAAATACACATTAAATACAAAAATAAAAACCTTCTCATTATCCTATACAATGTACAAGTTGACAGCTCTCCACTAAATGCAACTCCCAGACATGATTTAGTTACTATAGAGCACCAGGAAATTAAGCATCAAATAGTTGTATGTTTTAAACGTTTTTTGAAATTAGGTGGTACTTCCTCAGATCTATAATGGTTCTGAATAAAAAAGTCCCTGGGTAAGTTCATTAGTTCAGACATTTAGTGTTTATGGTGACATCATCTAAACAAGCAGGTGCTCTCCTTACAAACATTATGGAATGTGGCTAACTTTCTTTACATACAAAATGTAATTGTACACAGGAAGACTGCTTATAAGACTGTAGCAAACCTACCATTTTTATTCTTATCATGACATCCCATAGGGGGGGAGAAACACATACAAAACAATAAACACATGCAATGGACTGGTGACCTGTCCATTGCATGTCCATATCATTTAATTTCCACACTGCTCAGAAAATTTAAATTCTTCCTATATTAGTCATTTTGTAATTATTTATTAAACCTCATACCAAAAAGCTGAGATTTCTTCAAATCCAACAAAAGCATTAAATAAGCAATTTATTTTCTATCTTGTTTTTTTTATATGGATTGAAATGCATCACAGATCAGCAAGTTATAAAAGAAAATTTAGTTACCGTCGAAATAGAAAAACCCCTCACATTTATGACATAAGTATCGGCAGAAGACCACTCATGAAAATAAGCCTGTGGTTAAAAAAAATATTTAAATGCCTGTTCAAGCTGATGGACAAAACGTTCTGCATCATTTCTGAAGTCCAAACCAAAAAATATTTTTGTTTGTGATAACAGCCAAAGGAGGATTAGAATTTTACTTTTTGTCTAAACAGTACTTGATGTTGTTTCCCACAGCAGCAAATTAGCCTTCTTTCCCTGTTGTAAACCAAACAATAAAATCTCAACATTCAGGTTATCTTATAATATCCCATATATGTTATAGTAATACTAGTTTTTTCGCTGTCTTTTTGCTCCAATATCATGAACTTCTATTATTGAACCGGCCATATCTTTCCATCAAAAACAGATTTTCAAGTTGAGATGAGGGTTTTGCATATATCCCAATGATAAGAGAACACACAAATTATTATTTATGATCTTTTATGTTCTGCAGTTGTAATAAATAAATGTGAGACAAAATTATTTAATCAAAACAGTGTGATAGCTAATGGTTTCAAGTACCTTTGAGGAGCAATAAGTAATTATGACAATTAGCGTTTCAAATTGGAAAACAACAGAGAAAACACGTATTGCCATTCCAAGAGTGTTGGTGCAGGTTGCCAAGTCAAGAGGACAAGTACCTAGCTCAGCTAAATACAAGATGATGAGTGAAGACTATCCAGCCAAAGTAAGTTGTTTTGCAAATAATTTGGTAATGTGCTGAGGCTTCTTTGGTATTGCTGTGACAATTTCAGGTTGACTTACTGCTCTTGTTGCTCTCTTGCAAACATAAAATACCAAATGCTGATATATGTTCTGGCAGCCCTGGAAACTCTCATATGATTGGCTAAGAAACCAGGAAGTAAATGGTCTACACAATGCACTAATGTAATTCCCTGTTGTACCTGTGGGTTTTAAAGAAAAAAACCTTGACAAAGACATTGCTGTTGTAGGAAACTAATTGCTTATAAGCAAAGTGACTTCCATCCCAGGTGATGAATAAGAATAATTTTGGTTAACTTTAAAGTAAATTTCACACCGCTTTCTCCTTCAATAAAAAAAAAAACAAACAAAAAAAAAACACCTGATTTGACACATAAGCCTTCACTTATTAAGGCTAAACAGGTTTGATACCGTTTTAAATTAAATAAACTAGAACTTAATTTTAAGAACATTTTAAAAGCACATGTCATTATATATTTTCTGTCTGTTTTAATCAGATTAATGTACAGGCACACATGTGATATTTAGCTGGATTAAATGTCTGTTAAAGTACCTTTAAATATGATGCAGATCAAATCCTGGAGTCTTATAGGTTATTAAACCTTCTTAAATCAAAATCAATTATGTGATAATGCAACTCTTGATTTTTTTTTTTGCCAAAATAATAGCAGACAGAGTTAAAAAGCTAATAAAATGCAAAATTAAACATGAGGAGGCATTAAAAACTAGTAAGCACTAAGGTCGCAGATCATTATGGTAGAATATTTTCCTGGTTAGAAACAGAAAAAAACTGCACAGTAATAGTTTTTATTACCTATATGAATTTATTTATACTTACCACTGATTTCCAGCTCAGCCCAGTATGACTTCTTCCCATTTGCTGCCTCCTCGCTAGACATAATTGTGTACATCCGCCTGGGATCCGGCGGGTCATATTTTTCCTTGGGCATTCCTATAACACTACAGAGATCATTTGTAATAAAACTGTCAGTGGTAAATATAAGATGCCTACCAATATTCAATAAATTTCAAGACATATCCTGGTCCTGGCCTTAAAACAGTTCAGTTGCCCTACTGGATGATGTGGCTGCCAATTTGATTAATCAACAAATCTCCTGTTAGATATCCACTTAATTAAACACAAATCAAAAATATTAGAATCATATCCTAGATAATCATCACATGCAATGTTTTTGGAAGTCAAACATACCACAGCTTCCTGTAAGGGACTTATTTATTGTTACGAGAGTTAAAAGCGGATAATTCAACAAATAAATCAGAGAACCTTCCCGCCAACTTAAAAAAAAGTAACAACGCTGCTTTATAATTTAGTTAAAATAGGAAACTGCAGAGTTAAAAAGGCCAAGACAAACAAAGATAGCCTCGCCGATTGTTCTCCTCGGTGACGCTAACTGATTAGCCTAGCTTAACCTAAATTGGCAGCTATCGGACTACATAACAAAGCCAGATCCTCCAACTACCTCACAGTCTAATGTGATGAAAAAGCCACTTTGAATTTGTCTAATCTCTTAGTCGACTTAACTGAAACATTTGTCACACAAAAAAACGTCCAAAAATACTCTATGCTGGTCAATTTTGAAAATAAAGTGTGCACTTGTTGTTTACATAATGGCTAAGCATTGAATTGCGCATAAACACAAGGCCACGAATGAACGCAAAACGCTTTCATCCACTATACATCACAAGAAATAACCACCGTTGTTTAATAAACAAAAAATATATCCTTTAAGCTCTTAAAAATCGCCCAAAACACGACGAACAACATCAAAATTGAGCCCTTTAGCTTAGCTCGAGTAGCCTGAAAGCTAACATCTCAATTATTTGAAGCTGACCGAGTTCCTATTCAAATACTTTGTTGTACGAAATGGGCGCTTTGTGGAATATTAAGGAGATTTGATGCAGTGAGAAGGAATATATTGATGTGGTTATGAGGGTCGAACACGGAGGGGTTCGTTTTACCTGCAAGAGCATACCAAATCGCGAGGACGACTGCGTGTTCTCTTTTGTTTTCTAGCTACTTCTTCCCCGTTTCCGCTGCTGTATCATGGCGACTGGAGGGATTTTTTTTCTCTCGCTCTCTCGATAACAGCGCCGCATCCTATTGGCTGCCGCCAACAAGCTCCAACCAGCTGTTGAATCACAATAAATAAGAACCTCCAAAGGGATCATTTGGTGATGGATAGAAAACATGTAATAAAAGAACCAACCAATCTGAAAATCCTTTTTATTCAAACGGAAAGGTAGTGAACTAATGCTTTAATGTGGCTCAAAAGTTAACCGGGCTTAATAAAAAAACATAACAATAAAATAATAAATAAAATGTATTTTGTTGATAGAATACAAAACAATTTTAACTGCAATGTAAATTGAACAGCAAATCACAACTTTAAAAGAAATAACTGGGAAATTTATTGCAGAAAGGCACAAATAAAATTGACTTGTTTCCCAGTGTCTAAAATCAGTAGTAAAGTATTTTTATTTTAATATCAGCACTGACAGACATCCAACAGGTGATCTTGGAGATAAGTTAGGGACTCTTCCACGTGGAGAGGTAAGGTTTCCCCAATGTCTGCTTTGGATCTGGACAGGAAAGCTTCCACTGCTTCTCGAACAGCTGACTTTGACACCTTGTCATCTGGCTTGTAAACTAATGTGCCTCCTTTTCCAATTTGTTCAGAGGTAGAGCTGGTCAAGTAGCCTGTAAATGACAGATTATAACATGTAAATTGAGAATAAAGTAAATCAAAGCATTTAAGGAACTGGATTTATGAAAAAAAAAATTTAAAAATAACAAAAAAAAAAGGATTTTAAGAATAAAAATCAATAGGCTTTTAAGCTAGGCTGAATGGCTTGGAAAAATGCTATTTCTACACTGTTTACTTTCCTGGATGATCAGTGGGACACACTGATTAGGTTTTTATGGCAGATACTGATTCAGGTTTTATTTGACCTGCCAATTCCTCAATACAGAAATGATTTTTGTTTTTATATTGTAGTAAGAAATGTTTGAAATTCAACAGAATATGAAAAACGGAATCAACCTCATTCACAGCAGAAGTCTCTAACCTTTATTGGATTTATGTTAAACTAAAATGTGTGCATACATGTGTGTATATATATATATATATATATATATATATATATATATATATATATATATATATATATATATACACACACACACACACACACCTGTATAAATGTTTGTGTTTATAGCAATAAAAAAATATAAAGTTGCTTTGCTTTGCAACATGCATACATCCTAGCAGAATATTCTAATACTCTTAGCCCCACTAAGGATATTCAAATGAACTGAACCAGCAAAAACACAACTGTGAAAATTTGTTCATTATTCAGTGAGTTAAAGTTGATTCAAATAAGATTCTTTAGCCTGCTTAACACATTACAGAGCGGAGCTGTTGACCACCCCAAGATGGCACCATCAAATCACATCAGTGCCCATGGGCGAAAGCGATCGATGCAAGGTCTAATCTTATATTATGTCTATGGTTATAACTGCTGACAGGATATGATGTAACACCACTGCAATAACAAAAGAGGGAAAGGTAGCTACCTAATACTATTAATATTGAGCATTGTGGTAATACAAGCTAAAACATGTTTTAACAAAGTACAAACCTGGCCAGCCAGACTGACTTGTACAGGCTGTAAGTCAGTCTGGTAAGGTTCAATGCTCTGAGGTCTAAAAACAGATTGGACCAATCACAGAGTGGGAGGCGGGTTTCTATTGCAATAGTGCTTGCCTGTAATCATAACAGGGAAGGATTGCAGCTGCAGGGGAGCAATGTTTTATGCCTTGCTTCTGTCAGTGAGCCCAAAGGCAGCTGTGGCTACAATGATGTTTACCACCATCAGTGCGTGAGTGAATGGGTTAATGAGTAAATGGAAAGCACGTTGGTCAAGTCTTTGCTATTTAAGTACAGGCAATTTACCATTTCTATCATTAAATTTCAACAGCTGGCTGCTTTCAGATCTTTTCTTTTTAGAAGATGTTTTTGTGTCACATCCGTTGTAATCAGATTGGTTAAAAATTAACAAATACACAACAAGATAAAGAAGAGCTGTCATAAGTTTATACCACATGCATATACCACTTTAAATGTACCCTTAACCCAAAAGAAGAGACAAATAAGAATTATACACACCAGTTAAGGAAAGCTAAACAGACAAATTTGGTTTAACATTTTGATCATCTAGCTAATAGTGTTCTGGTTCACAGTAACCTGTAGTTGCAGTAGTTTATCAAGATCTTGACTCATATAGATCCCCAGAAAAATAAGCTGTGGCATCGAGCGGACCAGGATGTCAGCAGCAGACCCTTATAGTCCTGTAAGTTGTGAGGGGAGCTATCCATGGTTTAGAATAGGGGTCACTCACCTTTTAAATGCTAAGAGCTACTTTATGGGTATTGAGTCATAGAAAGTGCTACCAATACTGACCTTTGAATGGAGGAGTTAACGCTCACCTAAACTTCATGCATAATAAACAGTTTTTTATTTGAATTTCAAATTTTTTTTTAAATGACATTTTGAAATCTCTATGAATATATGCATAATTAAAAAACAAAAGGCAACAGAGAAAAAAACATTTAATTTCAAACCCACAGATGAATTGTGCTGCTTTAAGAAGATGCTGAGGGCATCCAGTAATGGTCCCAGATGGCCCCTTGGTGCCTGCGGGCACTGTGTTGGTGACCCCCGCATTAGACTTTGGACTAATATCTGGGAAATATGGCAGCCAAGCTCAGCAGCCTAAACATCATCATCTGCCCTGATCATGTTTACTCAAACCCTTATTCTAATCAGACATCAACTTTAAGGACTGGGGCTAAGACAATATCAGTGTTACTTACCAATCTAGGGGTCACAATGTTGTGCCTAATCTGTACATGTTTACATAATGCAGAAGGTCTGACTCTTGTTTATGCTTTGACATATTTAAACACCAGTTTAGCTTTTTTTTTTTGCACCAAATATGTTGTTATATAGAATAAGACCCAACATGACACAAAACCTAGTTTTCATATTTCAAAACAGTTTGCCTCTAAACGGCAGAACTGTGATTATTTCTAGTATTAATGATAATGGAAAGATAAATCTCTATATTAGCACTGTTGTGTACTTGTAGCTGCAGATTCAGCTCAGAGGAACAAAAGGCCTTTTTCTTCCAGCTCACCATTCATTGCTTCATCATAGCTGAGCAGCAACATCCACAGAAGATGTATCAACTCTTCCCACTTTCGCCAACGTTCCAAGCCATCCTAGAAAAAAAGAGATTATTTGCTTGTTTCCCCACCTTTATATGATTGGTTTACCTAAATCATATACAACTCACTCTATGAAATTTTCTGATTCTTGGCAAAATGGTGTGTCGATTGAAGTGGGGACATACTATGCATTTTTTTTTTTGCACGATTTGTCTAATAATTCACCGTTTTATAAATCGAAAATAAAAACAGAATACAATGACTTGCAAATCTTTTTCAACCCATATTCAGCTGAATACAATGCAAAGACAATATATTTAATATGTGAACTGAGAAACTTCATTTTGTTTTGCAAATAACCATTAACTCAGAATTTAATGGCAGCAACACATTGCAAAAAACTTGGCACTGGGGCATTTTTACCGCTGTGTTACATCGCCTTTCCTTTTAACAACACTCAGTAAACGTTTGGGAACTGAGGAGACCAATTTTTGAAGCTTTTCAGGTGGAAATCTTCCACATTCTTGCTTGATGTACAGCTTAAGTTGTTCAATAGTCCGGGGTCTCCGTTGTCATATCTTACGTTTCATAATGCGCCACACATTTTCAACGGGGGACAGGTCTGGACTGCAGGCAGGCCAGGGGAGTACCTGCATGCTTTTGCTACGAAGCCAAGCTGTTGGAACACGTGCAGAATATGGCTTGGCATTGTCTTGCTGAAATAAGTAGAGGTGTCCATGAAAAAGACGTAGCTTGGATGGCAGTAGCTTGGATGGCAGCATATGTTGCTCCAAAACCTGTATGTTACTTTCAGCATTAATGGTGCCTTCACAGATGTGTAAGTTACCCATGCCTTTGGCACTAATGCACCCCCATACCATCACAGATGCTGGATTTTGAACTTTGCACCTATAACAGTCTGGATGGTTCTTGTCCTCTTTGGTCCGGAGGACACGACGTCCAGTTTCCAAAAACAATTTGAAATGTGGACTCATCAGACCACAGAACACTTTTCCACTTTGCATCAGTCCGTCTTAGATGAGCTTGGGCCCAGGAAAGCCAACTGCTTTTCTGGATCTTGTTGATAAATGGCTTTTGCTTTGCATAGTAGAGCTTTAACTTGCACTCACAGATGTAGCGACGAACTGTAGTTACTGACAGTGGTTTTCTGAAGTATTCCTGAGCCCATGTGGCGCTATCCTTTACACACTGATGTCGGTTGTTGATGCAGTACCGCCTGAGGGATCCAAGGTCACGGGTATTCAATGTTGGTTTTCGGCCTTGCCCCTTACGTGTAGTGATTTCTCCAGATTCTCTGAACCTTTTGATGATATTACGGACCGTAGATGGTGAAATTCCTAAATTCCTTGCAATAGCTTGTTGAGAAATGTTGTTCTTGAACTGTTTGACAATTTGCCCACACATTTGTTCAGCAAGTGGTGACCCTCGCCCCATCCTTGTTTGGGAATGACTGAGCATTTCAAGGAAGCTGCTTTTATACCCAATCATGGCACCCACCTGTTCCCAATTAGCGTGTTCACCTGTGGGATATTCCAAATAAGTGTTTGATGAGCATTCCTCAAATTTCTCAGTCTTCTTTGTCACTTGTGCCAGCTTTTTTGAAACATGTTGCAGGCATCAAATTCCAAATTAGCTAATATTTGCAAAAAATAACAAAGTTTACCAGTTCGAACGTTAAGTATGTTGTCTTTGCAGTGTATTCAGTTGAATATAGGTTGAAAATGATTTGCAAGTCATTGTATTCAGTTTTTATTTACAATTTACAAAACGCGCCATCTTTTCTGATTTTGGCTTTTGTACTTTGAGACATTTTTTTTACCCTACTTATGAAAAAAGCAAGCTCT